AGGGTAGACCCGTTTTATTTAATAACTAAATTAATAATGTATTAAAAAATGAAAAAAAGAAAAGAAAAGGGCAAAATTGTCCTTTCAACCTTTTTAGGACCAAAACCACATAAAACTTTGTATTTTGAACTGGATTCCGGTCCTCTCGTTAGAAGGCAGCATAGTTGGAATTTCTTCCTGCGGCGAATAAAGGAAGAGAAGGAGGGGTTCACTATGATGGGGGGTACTTCTTTTTTTCCCTTTCATGCAACCTGAAAACTTTTTGGACCTCATCCAAAGATTTTTGCAAACTACAATGACCAAATTTGCAGTTTTGTCTTTACAAAAAAACTCTCAACTTTTCTTTGAATTGCCTAGTTAAGATGGATAGAATTCTAGATGGTATGCCAAAACCTAATAACTATGCAAAGACTGATGCACATAACTGATAAAACAATATTATGGGCTTTATATAACTAATTTTCATTTTTTTACTTTCTCGTTAGTTTCTAGTTTCTACAAATGTAAAAGTGTTCATTTCTCTCTTGATTGTTAAAGGAATACATTTCGGATTTTAATGTTTCAAAAATGCTAAGCATCATTCTAAATTATATGAATTCTTGGTTATCGGATAAAAAATTACAATTAAGTTAAAAAAATACTAAAAGTAGAACCACGCTTGGACCGGACTCGTGATTTTCTTTGGTAATGTGCTTTGGATTTTCATTTGAAATTTGTTTCTAAAAATGTTAATTACAATTAGGTTAAATAATACTAAAAGTAGAACCATACTTTAATCGGACTCGTTATTTTCTTTGGAAGTATATAGTGTTTTGGATTTTCATTAGAAATTATTTTTTTCTAAAAATTGTTAAAGAGAATTTACAATTGAGTTTTTTTGTATCATATCATATCATGCTATAATGTAAAAAAGACATTTTTCCTTTTCACCAATACTACTAAAAAAAGTGACTTTTCCGAGGGACAATTTCATCAGAAATTCCTAACAAAATGGCTTTTCCGATGAAATTCGGAGGAAAATATGTGCGTAGGTAAAAGACTCTTAGTAAATGTTTTACGAGGAATTTTCGAAGAAATTGATGAGGCATTTCCAAGGAGAGTTATTTTGTCGGAAGTCCCGAAAATTTTCCAGCATACCAATTTTGTTGTTATTTCGTAGGAATTTCCTAGGAAATATATTTGTGAGACATTTCCTTGTACAATACTTTTCCGAGGAATTTCCTAGCAAGTATTTATTTTGACAATTTTCCCAACAGTTTTTAGTGACACTTTTATAATAGGTTTTCCTAGGCATTTCAGAGAAAATATGCATCTAATATATATATATATATATATATATATATATATATATATATATATATATATATATATATATATATATATATATAGGTCAACACAAAAATACTAGATTTTCTTTCCCTAAAATGTAGAAAAAAATATAAGACAAATGACCAAATTTTGTTTTAAGTTTTTACACAAATACAATAAGCATAAATCCAAAATATTATCCCTTATAACACAACTTCTAAACAATTGTTTAAAAACAAACATAATATATATGTTTAAACACAAAAATAGTATAATTGTTTTAAAAGGTACTAGTGTTTACAACAATAATCTAAGAATCATTAGGTGGATTGGAAGCTTGTTGCATGGACCAATCTTGATGTTGGTATAAGTTACGAAACATCTCTACCAAGAAGTCGACTGCTCTTCAAAACCAAAAGAATTGAAATGGAATGGAATTGGATTCAATTTTTTGTACATTCCTGTTTAGTGGTTGTGGAATGTAAATAATGACACATGATACCATGTAAACGAAAGAAGACCATTGTTGCAACTTGATGAATTCGTTGTAGTATTTATTTCAACTTTAGCTTGTACTAGAGCATATTATAAGTAGTTGAATGTTAAAAATGAATATTTTTCCCTTCTGTATCATATGCTTCTTTTCTCCTATGTCTTTTGATCAAATTCATTACTAACAACCTACACTACAGACTCTTTTGAGCATCTTTCCTACAAAATTTATTCCTGAATGCTATAAGAAAACACACCTCAAAGAGGTAATCTTTACATTTTCATAAACTATATATATGAAACTGCATGGATGAAGTTTGGGCTAACATATATAACAATAACACTTCAAGCATAAAGGCAATCCACTCTTTGCTTGGTTGTTGCAACATAAATTCCAGCTTAAGTCATTCACTAGCAAATAATTCCTTGATTCAATTTTCACTACCCATTAGCCAGCCAAACTACTTTAGGTGGTTGCTTTGCTACGAGGTTAGAGATTCTCCATTTCGCTTGCAATGAAACCAAAAGGAAAACCAAACTAAACCAAACTCTTAATTTTCTGCAAATAACATTCTCATACTTCTTAGAGACAATAAGATAAATGAATGTCCAAGCTTACACACCTCACACCGCATCAACATGAAAAGAAAAAAAATGGAGTGAAAGACCTCAACAAAGTGTTAATGATCATCTCATCAGTGTTCAAATATTTAATCTCTAAAAGTGGGAATTAACTTTCTGATTCATGTACTAATTGATTACTCAAAACTACTGAAAATAAGCATTTATATTTCTGATTCATATGACTTTATTCATATACATAGTTTGATACCTGAAAGAGAGAGAAAGAGAGAGAGAGAGAGAGAGAGAGAGAGAGAGAGAGAGAGAGAGAGAGAGAGAGAGAGAGAGGGAGAGGGACAGAGGGAGAAATAGAATGATCAAACCTAGTGTTGGAAGGAAGTAACGAAGCTGATAGAGGGAGGCGACAAGGGAGTTGGCGGATGAAGGCGGAGACAAGTAGGACGGAGAAGTCGCATAAGAAGAGATTAAAGAACGGATTCGTGGTCGGACGTTGAACGAATGGTGACATAGAGTTTCAAAACAATTGTTGCACCAAACCTCCTCTAATGAAGAGAGAGTGAGAGTGTGTGTGAGAGATAGATAGTGAGAGAGACAAAGAGAGAGAGAGAGAGAGAGAGAGAGAGAGACGAAGATAACAAGATAAGAGATATCGGAGAGAGTGTGTTCTTGTGGGTATAATTTTTAACTTAGTATTTATATATCTTGAACTTGTACTAACATCCCGGGTAAGCTCAAGATCTTGGACTTAATCAATATCTTCCACTGTCGTCGCGTTTCATGTGAAATCTTATGCATGAACTCAAAGCTTGACAAATAAGGAATGGACCAAGCCAAACCTCAAGCGGTTAATGCCTGATAAACATTGAAGACCCTCGTAAAAGCTAGGTCAAGCAAAGATAAAGGAGAATCCCAAGAATATTAGGGTTATAGTTATTATTGGTATGTATATAAAAACTAGCTGATCGACACACAAAACACACTTCTACTACTACTTCTTATCTACTTCTCTTGACACTTGAGCACATTCACATCATTTCTATGATCAGCTAGCACTTGTAACCATATTTCATTTTAATATAAGTTCTAGTGTAGGTGATTTCATCACCTCCCGAGGTTTTATGCTGGAGATCTAAAGGGATTAAGGGATTTTCTCGCAACTCACTGCGTTCTTGCATTTACTATATTTACTTTTTGTTGTTCAATAGAAAACAATCTATTCCTTGATTTATTCATTTGATCATCTGTTTATATTGCCAAAATTGCTAAGGTATATCCTGAAATCTTATTATACTTTTGAGTATTTTCAACTTTAATATACAAATTCATTGATTGATTCTCATTAACACTATTTAGTCCTAGTCTTAACTTTAAGAGAATTTTTTTTCTTTTGTATCAAATTAATGACTTGGATCCTAGGACAATTAATAAAAGGTTGATATGTTTGCTGAGAATTTCCTTAGATATCCTTCGGAAGTTCTAAACTTCCTAGGAGCCATTTAAACCAAATACTTTTAAAGTAAGTGTGAGCCTCTTTGGCATGTTCGGGAAAAAAATGATATGAGTTGTTTATAATAATATAATGGTAATAAAAACTATTGATTAACTACCTAGGAATGTTAAATATATATTTATTTCCTAGGAAAAGCGTAGAAACTTGTGACGGACTTTTGAGAACGAAGAATTTCTCAGTATTTCCTACTTGTTACTGAGGAATTTCAAAAGAAATCTCAGAAACACTCTTTCCGCAGAACTTCCTAGGTAATATGTAGGAAGTAGTGAGAAATTTTTGCTCTTGAGAATTTTTTTTGTAGGAAAGTCCACCTTTTTCTAAGAGTACACAATCATTTGAAATTCTCGTAACATTTCAATTTTTTTTAATAATGATTATAAATTGTTTAATTAATGTTAAAAAATATTTAAATTATATAAGGTGATATAAAAAACATAATAATGCAGTCTCTGATGCCATAAAATAAATTTTAAACGACAATTTAATTTTTTTTCTAATAATAATTAAATTGTTTAATTAATGTTAAAGAAGTACAAAAAAATAATTATCAAATAGTATAGAAACAATGTTATAAAATAGTTAAATTCTATGCATGACAATTTTATTGCATAATTACATTTGTGCGCGCGAGGATGTTAAATCTTTTCATTTGCTGTAACATATTGAGCGAGGATGTTAATTCTTTTCATTTGCGGTTACATATCGAGTTTTACTTTTTGGTATTTTGTATTTTTTACATTTTAAACTTGATTTATACCATTGAAACTTGAAAGTGACTTGCTCACTTTTTTGTTAGACTCGAGTGCAAAAATTGGAATTTTGGATTGGTAAGTTTGTTGAAAATCCTTTCACATTCTTCGCATGTGGCATTCAATTATCACGATTAGAGTCAAAGACACCATTCGAGTATATTATAATATAATAATAATAATTCCACGAAAACTAAGATGTCGCCAAAACAACTGCTTGGCATTTTAATCGTTTATTGAGTATTCACCAAGTTTTTGTAGGTAAGATCCAAACGTATTTCTATTAAAAGTTTTAATTAAAATAACCCACAACCATCAACATCACATTTCTATAAATAGCTAGCCAAACATTCGGAGTACACCTGCACATCTACTTCCTCACCTTTCTCCCAACGTAAATCCCAAACAATAATTCACCATGGCTCCTGAGCTCACCACTAAGACAACATGCAACAAGTCATTTTGCAAAGACTATCTACTACTAAGTCCAAAAGACGTCGGATTTTGGGATCTGGTGATGCTTTTATTCTCCAAACATATTGGTAATAGAAAATTCATAGACTGTCCAGATGGAACTGTTGAAGAAAGCTTTGGAGATCGGTTCGTTATCTTCATATCCATTCTAGCCCAAAAGGTTCTTCATTTAGTTGATAAACCCTTAGGTTGGCTAGGCTCGGCCATTGAGTTTCTTCCCAACTTTTCCGATGCCAATGGAGGATTTCTCATGTTACTTTTGAATCTCGTATCAGGTTTCATTCGATCTATGTTCTTTATTCAATTCGTCTATATTTTCATTTTAAGTTCTTGAAAGAAACGTGAAAGGGTACCCACAATCTCTTGAGTCATGGTCTATTTTTTATTCACATGTATATTATTAATAAATCTTATTAGGTGTAATTATTATTTTATTAGATTTCGTATGATTTAAAAGATCTTGGATTATTATTTTCGTTCTTATCTACATTAATTATTAGTGTTGGATATCACGATTTAATTATGTGGAAAGATTATTGTTGGGTGTTTTACTGTCAAATTCATCTGCAGGTGGGGCAGTGGTTTTTTAATTTGTTTGTTGAAGTTAAAAAAAAAAAAAAAAAAAAAAAAAAAAAAAAAAAAAAAAAAAACTTACAACACTTTTACATGTTCGAAAGAAACCAAAATATGTCACCAGCTTGAATTTAATCAGTTCAATTCACGCCTAAACAAGGACCATTCAAGGCTGACTTTTTATTTGTAAATTTTTAGCGACAAAATAGTAAAGTATTTAGGACGAATTACAATTCCTATGGTAAAGCTAAAACTCTATTTCCAAACTAGAAGCGTCGTCTTTTCAAACAGACCGTCGGTAGTTCGTCGTATTGCTTTCGTTGCTAATTCATGGTTACTTAATTATTGATTGTTCCGGGTTGTTTTTGAAATTATAGAGACACTAAAATGAAGATGATTTTTTTTTATTTAGTAATTACGTATTTAGGATTTAGAAAGATGTTTGTTTAATTGGTTTCAAGAATAAAACACAATAAAAACATGTAGCTATCTCTTTGATCTGTATTATACTACTGACGTAATCTATATAGGAAAACTGGTGCTACCTAATAAAGAGTCCCCAGAGTTCTTAACAGCAATCGGGCTATGGGACATACGAAGGGATTTAGACAGCAGAATTAAGCACGAAGATCCGAGATACTCTAGCGCACTCGCCATTATGGCTGCTAAATCTGCCTACGAAAACCAAGCTTACATCAAAGAGACAGTCGAGAAGCATTGGAAGGTATATATATAAACAAGTTCAATGTCATTTTCCTCTGATGATTGTTAAAAGCAAGTCGTTCAAAAGTACTAAAGCTAATTAAATGAGTGATGTGATTGCAGATGGAGTTTTTGGAGTACTTTGATTGTTGGAATGGTAATATATTAGTCTTGAAAAAGCCTTTTTCATTGAGTTCTAAATGAAGTAATTAAGATCATGTAACTGAAAAGAATTTATATCGATTAAATTTGTTTCAGATTATGAGGAGGATTACACGACACAAGGGTTCATGTGGAGTGATAAGACAGGTGAATCTGAGCTCATAGGTATTTCATTCAGAGGCACATCACCTTTCAATGCCAAAGATTGGTCATCCGACGTTGATCTTTCATGGTACCATCTCCCCGGTATTGGCAAGGTCCATGCAGGTTTCTTGAAAGCATTAGGGCTACAAAAGAGCTTAGGGTGGTCGAAAGACATTCAAATAGACAACCAAAAACCCTACGCTTACTACGTGATCAGAAAAAAACTTAAAGAACGTCTTGAAAAGAACCCAAACGCCAAGTTCATGGTAACCGGACACAGTTTGGGAGCAGCATTGACGATTGTATTTCCAGCGGTTTTAGCACACCATGGGGAAACTGATTTGCTATCGAAACTTGAAGGGTTGTATACATTTGGGCAACCTAGGGTGGGAGATAAACGATTTGGTGAATTCATGAAAGAGGTGTTGGTAAATCATGGATCGAGGTACCTTAGGTTTGTGTATTGCAATGATTTGGTGCCTAGAGTGCCCTTTGATAGTTCTGATCGTTTGTTCAAACATTTTGGTGATTGCCATTATTACAACAGCTTCTACAAGGGACAAGTAATAACCTCTCGTAAACCTAATGTCGATATAACACATAATGTGTGATCAGTTATGTCGTTTAAGCTAATGGGTCGCTTTACTTGTGTACGTAGGTGCTTGCTGAAGAACCCAACAAGAACTACTTCTCGATATTGGCTTTTATACCCATGTTTGCGAATGCATTATGGGAGTTATTGAGGAGCTTCATCATTTATTATCAAAATGGACCAGAGTACTGCGAAACCTTTGCTTGTCGAGGTTGGAGAGTGATCGGGCTTCTGATTGCTGGATTACCAGCTCATGGTCCACAAGATTATGTGAATCTTACTAGACTGGGTTCGCCTGAACTCTTCAAGCTTTCATCGCACCAAAAGTCAACCAATGATGTAAAATAAATGGTACCAATTTGGGATAAGGAGTTTGTGGGTAAAACCTTGCTAGAAATACGCTTGTTATGTATTTTCCAGTTATATATTATATATAAAAAATAAATATATATAAAATGCAAACTCTCGCAAAATCTATTGCAGCTAGTACAACTATTAACGCAAAGCATAATGTATAATTATTATAAATATATATAAAATGCAAACTCTCATTTGTGAGAGAAATCTAGTGGCCAATAGTATTATAGAACCCCAAATTTTGTATAGGGTTAAGTTAATAACCTAAAAAGGTAACGAACTTTGGTCTTTGTCCACATTTAGGTAACCATGTTTTTTTCGTTTATATTTGACCATTGAACTTATTTGACCTGTTCAAAATAGGATAATATGACTGGTAATTACGTTAATATTACCCAATTATGAACAGGTCAAACAAGTTTATTGATCAGATGTGTACGAAAAAAACATGTTTACCAAAATATAGAAAAAAAATGAAAGTTTCTTACCAGTTTTGGTAATATTTGACAAGAACCGTCTCAGGGACTGTGCCCTGGGATCAGGCTCCGACAGTCAATGAACAATTAGGTTAGGCTTCGTCTAACCCAGTTCAGTCTGAGTTAGTCATGGGCTAGGCTGTGTTGCTAGGTCTTTAAAGCACATACAACCTAGCCCTTTAAGCGTATACAACCTAGCCCCTAACTAGTTGGGCCTAAACTGAGTTGTCCCAAGACCCGAGCATCTCCTCATACACAAAGATCGGACAACCCAATTTCATATCACATCAATGGGTCTTATGACTACTTGCACTTAACATAAAAAACTTAATATTACCAAAATGGGTAAGAAACTTTGGTTTTTGTCCATATTTAGGTAACCATATTTTTTTCGTAGACATTTGACCAGTAAACTTGTTTGACATGTTCATAATAGGGTAATGTTAACGCTAATTACCAGCCATATTACCTTATTTTTAACAGGTCAAACAAGTTCAATGGTCAAATGTGTACGAAAAAAACACAGTTACCTTAATGTGAACAAAGACCAAAGTTTGTTGTCTTTCTAGTTCATTAACTCTTTTGTATAATCTATCACTTACAATCTTTATTTTTTAATATGATATTTTTTATTTCTTACATTTTAAAATATTACTTTCACCTTCTTTATTTTCAACTTTCTAAAATATCATTTTTACACATTCGTTTTAAAATGTCACTTTTACACCTTCGTTTTTTAATTTTTTCGTATTTATCTCATTTGTATATATATAATATGATTTTCACTCATCTATTTTGTAAACTATATTTTCTACCCGTCTAAATTTTTAGACGTTACTTTGACACCCTTAACATTAAAGTTTGCAAAGTGTCACTCTTACCATCTCTATTTTCTAAACTTTCGCGTTTTTATCCCCCCATAATATACATAATATGATTTTCTTTAATAACTTTCGTTCGTTAACTTAAAAAAGATAACCCAATTTTTTCATTTGTTTTTTTATGTATGTGACGGTATAAATTCAAGGTGGTCAATGTTTCAAAGTATTCAATGTAACATCTGTTTTCTCCAAGCATCAGGTAAAGACTTAAAGGGATCAAAAATAGGGTTTTTGGAGAAAAACCCTAAGTCATGATGTGGTGCATGGGTGCCCACGACATAGCATAAGTTATATGGAACGCATCTCTTGTGAGCTCCATGATGTGACATGAGGATGGTCACAACGTGGCCGCTACTGCAACCCAAGCCCATGCTTTCTAGGATTTCCTGCATATTTAAAGACCTTAACTCTAGGGCTAGCTCATTTCCGTCAGCCTCCATCCTCCCATTTCAAAACCCTAGCCTCTCCTCTTTCCTTGTGAGCTTCTTGATGATGTTTTTGTCACTTAAAGGTTAAAGGAACGATTCGCGGAGCCATTGATCATCTAGAAAACTTATCTCCATCTCTTGGTGTACCTTCTAGACTTGTGTAAGTGTAGAGTCTTATTTGTTGTGATATATTGAATCTTATGTAGTGGTCTTAGTAGCGAATGTTTTGTAAATATCGAAGGTCTTCATGACTTCGATATATATGTATTTTACTAAGTACTTTTGTAGATTTGCTATTAATGTTGAAGTCTTAGTATACATTTTTCATCGATTGAGTACTCTATAATTAGAGTAGGTACATAAGTCAGTTGGTAGCTTTTGCGAAAGCGTTCACTTTACTTTCTATATCTATATCTGTCTTGTACCAATCCAAATATTTGAGCTGAATCAAAGGTCTTATTTACATCGTGTGTTCAATTTGTACTATGATTTTCATTTACTATTGATTAGACATCTTATCAAATGGTATCAGAGTAGGAATCCACATATCATTTGAAGAATCTCGTTCACATTTTCATCTTTATTGAATCAATTTCGATTCAATCATTCCACAAGTGAAAACGTAATTCTTCGTTCAATCCGTATGATTTAATGATTCTGTGATCGTTAGTCAATTGCTTTGTATCTGATTTCTTTCTTTTCAAGTTTATCCACTTTTAACTCAAAATGGTGAATTTGAATGTTAACACTATGATGAACTATGTTAATATACTTGGACTTGTGGCGATTGATTCAAAAAGGTCCATATCACGCAGATCGTCTTCAAGCAGTTGATAGAGTAGGTGAAGCAGAAGATGCGATTGTCCAAGCAAACAAGCAGAAGGATAATGATAAGAGATATATTCGCGAGTTACATGGAGTTTTGCCATCAGTTGTGTATAACTACATTCGAGGCTACACGACTACTTAATAAATACAGAACACGCTTAAGGAAAATTTCCAAGGGAATAAGTGAACAACGAAAAGCTCGGTAACTTAATGCTTATCGTAGTGAATCTATCAAAGCCTATTACGATCGATTCAATGAGCTCATCTACAAGTGCACCAGGTATGGTGTTGTTCGTACTACTCTCGAGTACAAAATTACTTTCATACTTGGACTAAATAAGGAATGGAATAATATTTTTCTGATGATCAAGACTCAAGAGAACTTCGACACTTACTCATTGTCGAATCTCTACAACATTTTAAAAGCTCACGAGTCTGAGGTGAATCTCTCCAACAATCTCTCCCTAAATGCTCGCAAATAATGAGGGATGCAAATATAATGCTAAAAAGGCTAAAATAAATAGTAACCAAATAACAAGTACGGTAATAAAATGAAACATAATGAGAACCAAGTATTGAAATGTCTCTGAAACTCTAAATTGTCTGTGATGTATGAAACTGGGCGATGAATCTCTATAGTCAAAGTCTTCTAAACAACAAAGTCCATCATATCCGACGTTGAGGAGTGAGATTTCAGTCTATAGATGTGATCAATAAACCAAGTTGATCAACTTCAAAAGTGTATCACAATAACTTCTTAACTAAACGTCCCATAAGCAAGTCACACTTCGGCTTCAAAAGTCTGAAACATCTCTTGTACTCGAATCATAACACACCCAAAATTCTTTAAAAGAATAACCTGCTAAAAATATGAAAACATCATGTGGTAGAGTTGGAATAATAAATAAGTCTGGATCAAGGAATAGAAGTTGCAGTGATCCACAGGCTAGGATCGGACTTCAAACTTCAATCGACACTATCATCATGGTGTTGGTTTGACTAAACAAATAGATGATAAGCCAAGATCAATTAGCAAGCCAAATACATAATGATCTCCGTTTTCCCAGATATCTTCAAAATCCACACTCAGAAAAACATAACCAGTAAGTCGGATGCTCATAATATTCTCTCCCTATTTTTGATAACCAATGTCAGGATATCAAAAATAAATAAATCAATCAATATGGAGAGTTTCGGATACCAAGACCTTCGCATGCTCTCCCCAGATGTATGAAGGGTCTCAATAAAACACAAGAATGAGAGTAAAATAAATACTCTCTGGTCATAAGTAACCGGTTAATTTTGTCACTGAAAACTGTTTCAACAAGTACCGAAGTAACAAATAAGAACTCTGCGTGAAAAATCTCTGCTCTGCTGAAAAATGTTGATGTACCCAAACTGTGGTGTCAGAACTCCTGAAGTGGTCTTCAATAAATAAAGTCCACTTGCTCAAGACACATGGTTAGTCAACTGAAGATCAAGAGCGACAAGTCATAAAAATCCCGTATAGCGAAGGTTGCGAAGCAAATTTTTTTATCAGACGCAACTGTAGTGCAAGCCTTGCAAAGAAAAATATGATGTCTGACTATGGTATGAAGGATAACTGGTCATAACACACTGATCCAAGGAGTGCTGGTCGAAAGACCTTGATTAAAGGGCAATCCTCATGAGAAGAATAATAAAATTTTTGAAATATAATCAGCAAGAAGTAATAGATCATGATGATCGAAGCTTGAATAAACCTCCAATAATAATCTCTTTTGCGGAGACAATAAATCGAGTCTTGTAAAAATCATTCTTCGCAAAAGTGTTTCCGATCATGGGTTGCGGTTGGGTAAAATTGATGTTATAAAATAATTGGTTTAAAAAAAATGGTATTTATAAAAAAAATGGTTTTAAAAAAAATTGGTGTAAAAAAATGGTACCTGTTGGGGTTTAGTTTTTTGCAAAAGAAAAAAAAGGGCTAAAAATGGCAATTAAGGATAATTGATGATAACTGAAATGGGTTAAATGAGTGTTAAATAAAAAAAATAATGTTGAAAAAAAGGAGATGTAATTTTTTTAGAAGGGGGGGGGGGGGGATAAGGGTTGAGGAGGGAGGAAAGGCTACGGTGAAGGTGAGCAAGGAAGAAAGGCTACCGAGGACTATGTGGTGAAGGGTAAGTCTGGTTTGATTGAGAAGACTGGGTAGAGAGGAGTGAAGGATGCAAAGAACAAGGAAGTTATATCGAGGAGTAGGCGGAAGTTGATTACGATGAGGCGGGCAGCAAAGAGTGGGAGGTTGCGAAAGAAAATCTTTGGTATGCGGTGGATAGCAGAGGTTGCGTATAAGAGGACCTCCAGCAGCTCTTCGGTATGGCTTAACTTCTCGGTAAGGCAATGTCTTCGGTCAGGTTTAGGTGTTCGGTGTTGAGCACCGAGGATGAGAGGGATGATGACGAAAAATGTCATTTTTTCATGAATTTGATACCGAAAAGGCTATAACTTCGTGTTAATCCATGGAAATGATTTCTA